GAAGCTTGGATGATTATCAAGGCATGGTAAACATCATTCAGGTTCAAGAGAAGCATAGTTGAGGTCATTTGCACAAAATTACACAGTTTGGGCCAAAATCGCACAATTCTGCCACAATTTATAGCAAATTGATATTTCGTGTTATTTTAGATTATTTTTAGTGGTTTTCACGTTTTTTGTATTATTTTTGGGCTGAACTTTCGCTTATTTGAAGCCCAATTCGTGGTTATTAGATTTAGGACTTAGGGTGTTAGTTTCCTATTTTGATTAGGATTTGTTTTCTCTATTTAAAAGGCTTGTAACCCTAATGGGGAAGAGGAGATTCAATCTAAGTTTTTGAGAGACTTTTCTCTTTGGTTCATTTCAGAACTTTACAGAACTTTACAGAACTTATCAAGATTAATTCTTGTGGCGTTCTAACATGACTTATCATTCTCATTCTTAATCGTTTGAGGGTGTGGCGTCAACCAACTTTATACCTCTGGTTCTTGTTACGGCATAGACAATGGGTCAAGGTTTTTATCTTTGGTTCTTGTTACGACATAAACAATAGGTCAAGGTCCTATTATAAACCTAATTTTGCTTTCCTGGAGTTTAGAAATCCCTTGTCGTGTTGTGGGTCTCATTGTTCTCTTTGGGGTTCTCATCAAAACTCCTCTACTGGAGAGAAACTCTAAGGAGGAAAACCCACTACCGCTCCTCTCAACCCTAGAAGCAATGCACAAGAGAAAGCCTAAGGAGAATTCAAGCTTTTAGAAAGAATTTTAAAAAGACTTATCGCAATATTATTATCTTATTTTAAAGGGAGTAGGTATCTTATTTTGAAGGGAGTAGGTATCTTATTCTAAAGGGAGTAGGTCGTACTGTGAAACTTATTTGATAGACATGTGACCCAAAATTATCTCCGTAAACTACGCTAAGTTTGTTAAAATAGCAGTAGAATTCAAATATTTAGTCTTCATGAGTCCCATGATCATTACTAAAAAAATAAAGTGATTTATAAACAAGTTTTTTTCGTATAATATTTTTTTAAATCACTTAATTTTTTTTATGTAACTTAATGTAATTATAACTTCTAATCTGTCATTTCGTAAATAATTAAAAAAATGTTTGAAAAATAATTTTTATTATTTCATAATAATATTTTATTTTATTAAATTTATAATATTATATATAAGTATACATTTATAGTATTTATTAATAACAAGTTGTGGTTATATATTGTAAAAAAGTTCTAAAAAATAATTATGAGAATACTATCACCTTATTTTAAAGTGAGTGGATCCTATTACATATTATGTAATTTATTGATTGATGTGGCCCAAAATTCTCTCTAAGAATGATGCAAAATTTTTTTAAGTTAAAATATCAATTTAATTTCTTAATCTTTAAATTTAGAATGAAATGCAAAAGCATGAATGTATCTACAGGATTAGTCTAATATGATTGTCACTTTGAGTTGTCAACTTAAAGTGACAAGCCATTTGACTTTCTTTCCATTTGGTTTATATTTCAAGCAAAAGCCCTTCTTAAGCCATCAAATTTACTCCAAAATAGCATATAAACCCTTAAACTAAAAATGAAGCAGATAAGCCCTCCAACTCCACTCATGATGTAAATAAGTTCTTTTCATTTATGGTTGTTCATGCTTTCAAGGTGATATTAAACATGAAATACAGTTTACCCATTTTTGAAAAGAGTTTTTTTGCATTATTAGTAAAATTGGAGGGCTTGTTTTCTTCATTTTTAGTTTAGGGTCTTAAAAGTTCTTTTGGGGTAAACTTATGGGCTTAAAGTTATTTTGGGGTAAACTCAGGGGCTTTTTACCTGAAATATAAACAAAATGGAATGAAAGTCAAATGGCCTGGGAATTTT